AAAAAAAAAAAAAAATCAAAGGGTCTATGGCTTTCTGGTGCCCAACACGGGATGCTCCTCAATTTAATTAAAAAAGAGAATTCAGTGCAGCTAGCCCTTGGTCACAGGGCTAGCAGGGTGGAGCTGTTGGCTAGAGCCTAGATGTGGGCTCAGGGGCTGGGAGGGCCCCCCAACAAAACAGAGGAGAAACAGTCACTACTAGAGATGCCGCTCAAGGGGTGCAGGTGGGCGGCTGGGATGGGGCCGCTCCCCATGACCGAACACAGAGCGAGGAGCTGGAACTGAGAAACCAGCGGCAGCAGCTGCAGGGACAGCGCCCCCTTCTGTCCGAAGAGCAAAGCGGGGCGAGCACGGAGGGGCGACATCAGCGCGCCCCCAGGCGGAACCGACCGGTCGTCATCACAAGTGAGATGTTCTGGGTTGTTCCTTGCGTCGTTATTTTGCAAACTACTAAGAAAGATGCTCTGGCCACACCGACACAGGGTCACCCACTGCGACGCGTCTTGACATAAAAATGTTGAAACGTCACAAGGGAGAAATGGGAAAAGGTTGAGCCGTGACTGTAGATAGCAAATCTCAAAAAGTCAGGAGAAAGTATTTTGGATGTTTCCCCATAAAAATGATAAATGAGATAATGTCTAATTTGATGTAAACATCACACAGTGTAAGCATGTACTGAAATGTCATACAGCATCTCATGAACGTCTCAGGCTGAATTACTGAGAGTAGAGGCTTGGTTTATCTGTTTGTTTTGAGACAGGGTCTCATTACATAGTTAAGGCTGGCCTTGAACTCACTGCATAGCCCAGGCTGGGCCACAGCAGTCCTCGCGCACCACCACACTCGGGAAGACTAGTCTTTTTTTTTTTTTTAATGTATTTAGTACAGGGTCTACAGGGTTTCACTACACAGCTCAGACTTGTAGTGATTCTGTTTTTCAGCCTCCCAGGCGCTCGCCACCATGCCCATTCTCGGTCACCATCTCAGGATGCCCTGGGGATGGGGCCAGCATGGCAGGCCCGGGATCCAACTCCCAGCTCCTGCGTCTGCCTAAGCAAGCTCTTTAATCTGCTGAGCTATCTGGCCAGCCCGTGACTAGTCTTTTATTTCTTTTATTGAAACAGTGTACTAGGCATGGTGGCGTGTAACCGTAGAGCTATAGTTCCAGTACTCAGGAGGCTGAGGCAGAAACATTGTTTGAGTTTGAGGCCAGCCTGGACCATATAGTGAGACCCTGCCTCAAAAAATCAAATGAAAAAAGTGAACTAGATTTGTGCCTGGTATGTACAGGAACTTAGTAAAGTTTTACTCAAGTAAAATTTGTAAAATTTTTCGCTTGGACTCTACCAAGGTGCTTCAGACATGATGTGTCTTTTTTTTTTTTTTAGACTGTGATCAAACCCAGGGAGGATCTTGCTAAGTCATTAAATTCCCTAGGCTGAGCTGGAGCTCTCTTTTGCTGCCTCAACTTCCCAGAATGCTGGCATTATAGCCATTAACTAATGTATCAGGGTGATTCAGGTGTTCTGTTTCACTGGTACAATATAGAATTCACTCTTATGACAGAGCCCTTCTCTTCTTTAAGAAAGTTATCAGGTGAAGACCAGATTAAATGAGTTTTCGGTAGAGAGGATTGTACCAAAGGCAGGGGTGATGGTGCACATCCGTGATCCTATTTAATAGGGAAGCTGAGGCAGGAGGATCCCAAGTCTGAAGACAGCCTGGGCAACTTTCAGACCCTGTTTTTAGAAATGTGGGCCTGAGGGTGGGCGAGGTAGCTCAGTGGACTAAGCACCTGCTCAGGCAAGCAAAGGGACGGGGGTTCAATACCCGGCACCACAGGCCGTGCCAGTCCTACCCGCAGGACCGGCTGAGCAGGCCACAGAGTCTGGGCATGGTGGCACACCCCAGTAATCCCAGTACTGGGAAGGCTGAAAACAGGAGGATCACTACGAGTCCGAGCTGCTTAGTGAGACCCTGTATTAAAAAAAATTAAAAGGTGGGTGGGACAGAGCTCAATGGTAGTGTGCCTCTGGCTTCAAGTACCGGGAAATAAGCCTAGAAGTGAAGGAGAGGAACTAGGTCATTGAGTCATGAGAATGGAGGACAAAGCAATAGAATAGAACAATATTGCCTTATCATCTGGCGACCTTTCACACTCTGAACTGTTCAGTGTCAGGGTTCCCATTTTATCTGGGAGACTCTGGCTGAATGTGCAGATGAAGGGATGTTTCCCAAAATAAAATATCCGGAAGGAAAACTAAGGTACATCCCCGTAAAATTAATTTGAACTAAAATCACATATAAAGTTATGTAAAAACGAAGGCGACGAAAACAAGTGTTTCCTCATCACCCATAATCTCAGTGGTTAGATTATGGGTGATGAGAAAACAAAACAGCATCGATAGGGTGCTCCTAATGCCTCCAATTAGGGAATGGGGCTGGGATGAGACCAAACGCCTCATCCCGCTGCCATCTCCCCGCAGGGCCGTGACTTATCCTGTCCGCGAGGTTAGCCAGGATCCAGGATGCACCCCAGACACCCGGCCAACCCTTCCCGAGCTTATTAATAGGAAGTCATTTCTGACTCACGAGCGCGACCCTGGGTTTCAAGCGCGCGTCCCCTTGCGCACGCGCACAACTGGCGCGACGCACCCGCCCCCCAGGTAACCAGCACCGCCTACTGGACGCCCACCTCCGGCCGCTTCGGTTCCGCCCCTGAACGGAGCGCGCGTGCTTTCTAGTTTCGCTCCGCCCCCTCACTCCGGTTTCTCGCGACATCCGACTAGTAGCAGCCTGAATCTCGCGATAGGTACTTATAGTCTCGCGAGAGCACGCCGGGTAGCTGGGTTCTGGGGCGGCCCTAGCCGGCGAAGAAGAGTTGCATGTGTCGCTTTAGCTGGCGGGAGCGGCGGGACCGGAGGCGGCGAGGACTGTGTGACCGCCGGGGTAAAGACTCCCCGCTCCCCTTCCGGTTCCGAGAGGCTTGTAGCGTGGGGCAAGCTGAGATGCCTCCTGGAGGAAAGGGGCTGGGCGTCTCCACTCCCGCCCACATGGGCCTCCTCTGGTGTCCCCCGGGCTGCCCCTTTGCCTCAGCATTGCTTGTCCTTGTCGCCTCAGCCCTCTTACATTCCACCCCTTCCTGGTTCTTCTGTTTCCGCTTTCTTTCCCCATCCACCGCGGGCCCCGGCCACCCTGTGCCCACTCCTCAGTGTCTCCACACCCCACGTTCTGGACTCCTCGCGTGTGACCCGCCCCTCCGCCTCGGGTCTCTCGACCTCTCTTCTTCTATCTGTTGGGAGCCTTCCTTTCAGCGCAGCTTGCATCCCTCCCAGGTCGCCCTCAGACGTTTCGCTCCGTCTCCATTGAGGTCACCCACCATTTGCATTTCTCTCCCCAGTTGCTGCTTTTTGTCAGTACCCCCTTCCTTCCCTGCTTGTTTCCGTGTAGACTTATGGATCAGGTGGATGTGCCAGGAATTGCTCTCATCTCGTGATCTAATACAGCCTGTCTTCCCGACTTCACAGAGAACTGAAGCAGTCTTGGGGTGGGAGGCAGCGTAGTGGAGGAAGTCAGACTCCACCCCAATACTTTTTCCCTTGGTGTCTTCAGAGTAATGACGGTGTCCTTGTCCTCGCTTACAGGTTTATGAAATGGCTGCTGACATTTCTGAATCCAGTGGGGGTGATTTTAAAGGTGATCCGAAGAACAGTGCCAAGTTAGATGCTGATTACCCACTTCGAGTCCTTTACTGTGGAGGCAAGTGTTGGAAGGCAGAGGATGGGTTTTACTATGTTTTGATACTTTGTGTTGATAGTTTTACATTTGGTCCTGTTAAGTTTTTCATTCACCCATTTGACTTTTGTCATTTGGTGAGACAAAATTCATTCACCCATTTGACCTTTATTCAAAAGGGGACTCTGAAGAGGATGCAAAGGTTAACAGATTTTCCCAGTCTTTGTGGTTTTTAACTTGCTACTTGGCCTAGAGGAGCTTACAGTCCTGTGGAACTGGAGACATGCAAATATGTTATTTCAGCTGGGTGTTATGTGCTGTTCTGGCTGTTTAAGGAGGACTCCTTGGAGATACCAAGCAAGTCCTGAGGGATAGGAGAGAAGAGAGGAAGAAGTGAGAAATAGCAGCCTAGGGGGAAAGAACAGCTATGCAGGAAGAAGCTGCGTGTGTCTGTGGAGAACCGAGCAGTTTTGGAGTAGGATGGGGGGACAGCAAACTGGCTTGCGCAGTGGAGAGGAGGTTGGAGTGAGGAGCAACACATCCTTGGGAAAATCCTTTTTTATTTTCTTCATTTGAGACCATACTTAGTGGTGGGAAAGTCCTCTGATTTGAGTAATGATCTATGTGTTAGACTTCATCAACAGATTTCTCCCTATAAATATTTTTCCTCAGTTTCAGTAGGAAAATTTCAGTTCAAGAATCTATTTTATTTGCTCTTTGGAACTTTTAGAAAAATTTGAAGGTACAAGACAGTAAGGGGGCAAATAATTCTTTTGTTTTCAAAAATCTTTTTGAGCACCTGCTTACTGTGTTCTGGACGTATTTCAGGTGCTGAGGACTGAAGAATAAATAAAAGGGGAAAAGTCTGGGATGTAGCTCAGTGTGAGGTTCTAGATTCAGTCCCCAGGAGGGAAATTAGTGACTCATCATTTATTAAGTGTCCTTAATAATGAAATAAAATTAGTGTGCATTACCTTAAATTTTAGAAAATGTATTATTAGTAGTAATAGGAGCAGTAGTAGTGTTATTTGCTGTACAGGGAATGGATCCCAGAGGCACTTTTGTACCAAGCTATATTCCCAATTCCCCGGGGGGGGGGGTTTGTGCTGGGGATTGAACCAAGGTCCTTGTGCATGTAAGCAAGAGCTCTACGGTTGAACCACATCCCAGCCCTTATTATTTTGAAACAGGATCTCACTAAGTTGACACGGAGAGACTTAGCTTTCCTGCCATCCTCCTTCCTCAGCCTCCTGGCTGGGTTGTCTTATTATGACATTTGTTTCCCTCCTCCCATTTTTAAAAAATTGAACTCCAGGGCTTAACACTAAGCTAATCTCTAACCCTTTTTTACTTTGAGACAAGACCCTATTAAATTGCTAAATTGCGGCTGGTGAGATGGCTCAGTGGTCTAAAGCACCTACTTGGAACAGGCTTAGCAAAGCACAGGGACCGCTGTTCAATCCCCCAGGACCACATGCCAGCCAGCCCCGCCCCCTGGTGGGCTGAGTTGGACACACACACACACACGCATAAATAAATAAAAATTTTAAAAAAAAATTGCTAAATTGCCCAGGTCAAACTTGTGACCTCCTCCCTTAGCCTTCCAGAGGGCTGGGAGATGGTGTGCACCATCATGCTTGGTTTATCTTACGTCGCAATCAGTTATTATTCTTTCCCTGTGGAGTCATTGGCCAGTATTTGCTTTGTGACTGTAGCATGTAGCAGGAATATGGCCCTGTGCAAGTTACTTGATTTCTGTAAGGTTTAAATGTCTGTTTCTAGTGTATTGGAATGAAAAAGATGATTACATGTTAATTCAGATAATTGGTGTAAAGTCCCTAGGATAAGTAGGACCTAGCCTTCTAAATGCTGCCGTTGTTGTTGTGTGCTAATTCATTATGATTTTCATCTTGTCTGTCAGATGTAGTTTAGAACTATTCTGACAGTGCATGGTGGTGTGCACTTAAGCCCCAGCACTCAGGAGACTGAATCAGGAGGATTACTGCAAAGGCAAGGGCAGCCTGGGCTAGCTAATGAGTTCAGAGCCAGCTTGAACTGTGTAGTAAGACCCTGCCTAAAAAAAACAAACGAGGGGGCTGGGGAGATAGCACAGTAGTGCAAGGTTCTGAGTTCAATCTCGGTTCTGCAAAAAAACTATTATTCTGTCACTGGGGATGTAACTCAGTGGTAAGAGTACTTACCTGGCATGTGCAGGGCTCTAGATATGATGCTTAGCACTGTAAAAATAAAACAAAACTTGTTTTTGTGTCTATCCTGTTTTATCAAATCTAAAAGTGTATTTTAAAAAACGCAGTATATGGGGCCGGGGAGATGGCTTAGTAGAATAAGCGCTTGGCCTGGCAAGCGCAAGGGTCTGAGTTCAATCCCTGGTTCTGCCTAAAAACCAAAAACAAACAAACAAAAAAAAAAAAACGCAGTATGTGAGATTCTCCTAAGAAAGAAAAAAGATACCATTAGATTGGTATATTGCTTACTTATAAGATGTAGCTCTACAAAAAATATAAAAGTAGAGTTGATGAAATACAGGATATGAAAATCATGCATTGAATTGTTTATATCACTTCTTAGATAGCTTTTGGGGGATTACTGGAGTTTGAACCCAGAGCTTTCACCCTGAGCTGCATCTCCAGGTCTTTTTATTCTTTATTTTGAGGCAAATTGACCCAGGCTGTAACCCTCCTGGCTCAGATGACTTGTGAAGAACTACACTAAGTAGCTCACTCCGCAGGTACTTTGTTGGAGAGAAGTCCCTAGCCTGTGTGAGAAGAGCGTATTTTCATTTCCCTCCCTCTTCCGTGTTGATGTATAAGGCAGCAGGGTGAGGAAAGACGTACTTCTCCCCTGAGGACCAAAAAGTCTAGGGGTGTGAGAAGCACTAGGCAGTATTAAGTTAGGAGTGAAGTGGTCCTGACCATGAATTAGGGGTTCAGGGGTCTTTGACTAGAGGGAAGCCAGAAAGTTTTCAAGGAGTGGAGTTTATAGAAGTCTTAGGTGATAGGTAAAACTTGCAAGGAAAGCTGAAGGAATTTGTAAGAACAATAGGGGGCTTAATTTCATATGCTCTCTTTAGGAGAGGAAGACAGAGAACTGATTCTCACAGAAGGCTGATTTGAAGTAAAAGAACAAAGATGGGTAGGGTGGGGTCAGGTCCAAGGAAACACAAGGTCTTGAGGGTTCAGACTGTAGATGTTGCCAGGAGATAGCTCAGCAGCCTCAGCGCCTCCTTGGCAAGCACAAGATCCTGAGTTTGATCCCCAATACCAAGAGAAAAAAAAGGTGTTTGGGCCAGCTAGATCATTCAGCGGATTAAAGCACTTGCTTAGGCAGAAGCAGGGGTCAGGGGTTCAATCCTCTGCCTGCTGTGCCAGCCCTGCCCCAGGGGTGCACTGAGACAGCACTAAGACTGGGTGTGGTGGCATGAACCTGTAATCCCAGTGCTTGGGAGGCTGAAAACAGGAGGGTCACTATGAGTCTGATCAGTGTAGTGAGACCCTGTAGACCCTGTACATTTAAAAAAAAAAGGTATTTGCTGCCAGACTGTAGATGTTCAGGTCTGTGTTTACTTTTTTGTATTGTTGGGGATTGAAGCCAGGCCTTGTGCATACAAGGCAGATTCTTACTACTGAGTTACACTTCCACCCTTGTCTGAGTTTAAATCTTGGCTCTCTTTATCCTGTTACTGAGTAAAACCTTTGTGAGTTTCTTCATAAAATGGAAGTAGCTGAAGCACCTACTTCAGAGCTCTGTTGAGAGGGATGCGTGACACATTGCATAGGGTGTGGTGGCACACACTATTTTGGAAGGTTAAGACAGGAGGACTGTGACCTTGAGGCCAGAATCTGACTCAAAAAGAAAGAGTCAGACATGGTGGCACACACCGATAGTCCCAGCACTCGGAGGCTGAGGCAGGATTGTTGCAAGTTCGAGGCCAGCCTGGGCTGCAAAGTGAGTCCAAGGCTGCCCTGAGCTGCATAGCAGAGGTCTAGTCTCAAAGTAAAAGGAGGAAGCTGGGCATGGTCCTTGTTAATCCCAGCACTCCGGAGGCTGAGGCAGGAGATTACTGTGAGTTGGAGGCCAGCCTGCACTACAAAGCAAGACCCTGTTGGAAAAAAAAAAAAAAATAGCTGCTGCACATGCCTATAGTTCCAGTACTTGGGAGAGTGATACAGGAGGATCACAGCAAGTTCAAGATCAGTCTGGATTATATAGTAAGACCCTGCCTCCCCCCGAAAAGAAAGCAAAAACCTGAGAATTAAAAATAAAAAAGAATGACTGTAGCCCAATGTGAATGTTCTGGATTCTATCCTCATTAGCACAAAGAGAAAGAAAAATGTTTGGCACATGGTAAGTTCTCAATAAATGTTACCTATTATTATCTGTAAATATCAGAAAAGTTCTGAGTTGCTAGCGTCACTATCATCTGTAGTGAACTATTCTGTGAGCAGGAAAATAATGAAGGGACAAGAAAAGATTAATATGCTATATTGTGATGTGAGAGAACCAATAAAAAGTAAGGCCTGTTAGCTGCAGAAGTGTAGGTAGAGGCAGGCGAGTACCTTGCTCTCAGTGGAAGCGGAGGGATCAGTCAGGAGAGACCCGGCCAGCTTCACAGTGAAAAGGGGAGCGATTCCATGATGAATTCTGTATTTCTAAACTGAGAGCTGAAGAGAAGGAGAGGCAGTGAAAGTGGTGAGGCGCATTTTATTTGGAGGTGAGAAAGGGGCTCTTTTCCCAGGATAGTGAGCTTGAGTTTCTCCAGGCAGAAGAGTCTTAAGCATGGTGTGTCAGAACGGCAGCTGAGGCCAGGAAATAAAGATCCGCCAGTGTTAGCCACACAAGGATGTTCTGAGGAGGAGATGGTGGGAGCTTATTTAGGAAAGGAACAAGAAGGGCCAGGGATTCTTGGGGTGTACTCGAGTCAGGTGAGCTGGGCAGAAGCTGCTTAATTGGTGTCAAGTTAGCGAGAGGGTCAACTGGGAATCTTGTTTTGTTTTTCTGCAATTATAAAGTGTGACTGTGGATGCAAGAAAAGTTGCATTTCTTTGTTTCACTAGGAGTTGAATCCAGTTCCTTGCTCTGAGCTACTTCTGCAACCCTTTCTATTCTTTGTCTTGAGGCAGGGTCTTGATAAATTGCCCAAGCTAAATTGGAATTTGTGATTTTTCATCCTCAGCCTCTCAGAATACTGGGAATATAGGCATGTGCCACTATAGCTGGCTGTATTCTTTTGTGACAGTTATCTGTGAAAAAATACTTTAAATGTAAAAGCATATGTGAATCAAAGGAAAGAGCCCTTTCCTGAGACTTGAATGGGTCAATAAAGGAGCTCTACCGGGTGGAAGCTGCTGAAAGATGCATTTCTACCTAATCAGCACTGTTCGTGGCAGTGCAGTGCAGGCTTCTGTTTGGTATAAAAACATTATTGTTCATTTAACAAAGAAGTACCAGACATGAGTTTAGACATCGCCTTCAAGTCCTGGCTAAGTTCTGAGGAAGATTGTGTATTGGCAGGGCCCTGCCCTTCATCTGCACAAAACTTACACATGGTAAATGTAGGCGAGGACTGCAGGGAAGATGCAGGTGAGACTGGCAGCGGACAGACACAAGTAGTAAAGAGCTGGAAGCTGGGACGCACCTGTAACCCCAGCACTCAGAAGGCTGAGGCAGGAGGCTCTATGTCAAGTTCAAGCCCAGCCTGAACTGAATAGCAAGATCGAATCTCAAAAACAAAGAAAAGAGGGCCGGGGAGATGGCGCAATAGAATAAGCGCTTCCCTGCAAGTACAAGGGCCTGAGTTCAATCCCCAGTTCTGCGCCACCCCAAAAAAAAAAAAACTGAGACTGTAGCCACAGCAGCGGTGCAGAAAGGAGAGCTTTCATCCTGTTGTAGGGAATCAGAAAGACCTCATGGAGCCCACCACAACTGAATGGGGACTTGAAGGAAAGGTGGTGTTCAGGCCAGCACGGAGGGGCAGAGGGCAGATGTGCCAGGCAGAGGAGCAAGCAAGACAGGCAGGAAGATAGTGGCCATCTGAGGGCTTTCCGCTGCCTTGCGATGTGAGATTTGTAAAGGCGAGAGGCAGGAATTTGTAAGGCTGTGTGGTTTGGGGCCAGGTTGAGTGAGATTCTACTAGTAGATAATGCTGAGTTGCAGAAGGCTTTTGTACAGAGAAGTTAGGTGAAGACTTGAGTGAGGCAGGCTATAATAAGGGTTAAAATTAATGAGGGCTTAAATGAGTAAAATAGTCAGGTGAGGTATGTGCCTATAGTTCCAGCTATTCGGGAAGTTGAGGCAGGATGACTTGAACCCAAGAATTTAGGGCCAGCCTGGGCAGTGTAGCAAGATCTTATGTCTTTAAAACAAAGGAGTAGCATAAATTAGGAAGAGAAGGTTGAGCGAAAAGATTATGATGGAGAAGCCAACAAGTTAAATGTTCATTGGGTTTGAAGACAACAAACAGGGAAAGGGGAAATAGACCTGTTAAAAATGTATGGAGGGGCCAGGGAGATAGCTCAGTAGAATAAGCACTTGCCTTGCAAGTGCAGAGTCCAGAGTTCAATCCCCAGTACTGCAAAAAGAAAAGAAAAGAAAGAAAAAGAAAAGAAAAACTGTATGGAGGGGCTAGGAATTTAGCTCAGTGTTGCAGCGCCTGCCTGGCAAGCTTGAGGTTCTGGGTTCAGTTTCCAGTACCCGCCAAAAAGGAAACAAAACTTGTATGGGTATAATTTCTGGCAGACATTTAGTATTTTTGATAGGTATGTAGAAGAGAGCAGACTATCGAATAAGGCACTTGCTAAAGGGAAAAATAGAAATGGTGACAGAGGCACACTCCTTGTCCTTTGGCCATCTGCTTCTTTCCCCTTTCAAAAGCGAGAGTGTAGATTAGAAGAGACTGGTCTCAGCTGTCAGCTAGAGTCTACTTGGCACCTCAGAGAGAAGCTTAAATTCATTTAGAAGCACGCTGTAAGCTCCTGCCCATGCCAGGCATTGTGCTGCACATACAGGAGTGAGTGACTCAGTTATGTTCTAGAAGCCCATTTTGACAGATGCTTTAAAATGTACTTGAGGATGTTGTTGGTGTGCTGGCACAGACCTGTAATCCTGGCACTTGGGCGGCTGAGGCAAGAGGTTGCTGCTAGTTCGAGGCCAGCCTAGGCTAAGTAGTAAGTTTAAGACCAGTCTAAATTGCGTAGCGAGACCCTGTCAAAAAAAAAAAAAAAAAACAAAACAGAACAAAACAAAAAGCAAAAGCGTTCGTTTTTCATCAACTAGATTCTGTAGATCAGAAAATCAAGGTAGTATTATTGCCTGAAGTAACCATGTGCCTTTTACCTCAAAACCCCCTGAAGGTGTAGCATTTGAAAGGTGGTAGAGAAAAATTAGACAATATAGAAGTGAGACATGTCAAATGTGATAAATATGTGTTTACATATTCTTAACATTTTAAATCATTTTTTTCTCCATTTCCCCAGTCTGTTCATTACCAACAGAGGTAAGTCCTTTTAAATACTTTTCTCTTAATAATATCTGCATTTGAGGTCACACTTGATTTTAGAGCTAACCTAAGAACTTTCTTTTTATTTTTGTTTCTATATCATTTGACAGTAAAATTTCAGCTTTTTTTTTTTTTAAAACAGTACTGGGGATTGAACCACTGAGCTACATCCCCAGCTTGTTATTTTGAGGCAGGGTCTTGCTGAGTTGCCAAAGCTGAGCTCAAACTTGCATCCTTCTTCCTCCCAGAGTGCTAGAATTAACTATGGTTTAGAGTGTCTTTAAGGCCTCCCGTAGTGCTGGGTACACACAGTGTGTCGCTGTGCCTGGCTTTTGTTTGTGGAGTGGGATAGCTGGCTCACAGGTGGATGCCAGTATGCCCGCAGATACGTGTGCTGCACTTGCATTTGGCTCTACGTTTCAGATGTTTCCTGGAACTCGTAAGTGGCCAGTGATAATCAAAAGGAACGTTAAAGCCAGAACTACATGTCTGAGCAGAGGAGGGGAGCAGTGCAGGCCTTGTGGAAAACTTCCTACAGCGAGCAGGCGCTTCATCCTTTTGACTTCCTAGTTTTGGGGGCATTTTCTGCTTGAATGGAGCTTTCCTGTGGGTGAGAAATCGGGGAAAGTAGTTCTGCTCTTCATATAGCAAGTATAAGCAATGATTTTAAGTTGAAATGTATTGTTTGAAATGTTTCCTTGATTCAGTTTATTCTTTTCCTTTCCTTCCTTACAGTACTGTGAATATATGCCTGATGTTACTAAATGTAGACAATGGTTAGAGAAGAATTTTCCAAATGAATTTGCAAAACTCACTGTAGGTATGAACCTTTTTTCTTTTTATCAAACTTGTATATCAGAAACAAGTACACATGTAGCATGATTTTGAAGATATGAAAGTCGTCCTTTAGTAGGATACAGAATTTCAATAATCTTTTATTAACTTTAAAACTCTTCCAGTCTCAGCTGTGCATGGTGGCACACCCCTGCAGTCCCAGCGCCTGGGAGGC